TCTCTTCTTTCCCGTACCCACTTAGCTCCACACATGACAACCTCCCCCCTCCCTCTTGCCTATCTGCACCTTGTGCTGAACATCACACCCCATAACAGCACAAGAACCTGCCCTGCACTGACACCCAGAACACCATGATGGCCCCACTACATGCCACAAACAACCCATCGCAGCCCCTCCCCTTCAGTGGGACCTGCCCTGCTGCACCATAGCTAAGTGACTGGCCCTGCCCACTGGACAAGGAGGTGAAAGGTATCATGCCCACAGATGAGCAAACAACAAAAAAATGCAGAGCCCACCTGTTCAGACACAATCAAATAGAACAAAAAGGCAGGACAAAACAAACAAATATACAATCAATAAATTAAGAAAGTAACTACTGGATGTCCCAAAGACACCAGACAATATCAAAAGATATTATAAAAATAGGACAAGATGGTTCCAATAGGCATCCAAAATAAAACAGCAGATGACTTTCCAGTAGAAGAAAAGCCATGGGAACTACCTGATAAGGAATTAAAATCTCCACTGTTCAGAGCCATCCAAGAGTTGAAGCAAGAAGCAGACAAAAATGAGGAAAAACAGACAAATTCATGGAAAAGGCAGACAAAATCATAGAAAATATAGACAAAACAATGGAATAATTCAGGAAAATAATACAGGAACAAAATGTTACAATAAATTCACAATAGAAATCATACAAAAACAGTTAGAAATCCAAAAGATAAACAACAAGATTTCAGAAATGGACAGTGTCGTAGAAAGTCTGATGAGCAGTTTGAAACAGTGGAAGACAGGATCAGTGAAATTGAAGACAAATACTTCAATACCACTTTGTTTGAGGAAAAATCAGAAAAAAGAATGAAGAAACCCTGAGAATGATGTGGGATACAATCAAAAGCAAAAATGTGTGAGTGATTGGAGCTCCAGAACAGGGGGAGGAAATGGAAAACCCAGAGAGGATCATTGAAGAATTGTTGACAGAAAACTTCCCTAATACCATGAAAGATGAAAAGCTGACCATCCAAAAAACTCAATGAACCCCATATAGGATAGACCCCAAAAGAAAGTCACCAAGACATATCATAATCACTCTCACTAAAACCAAAGCCAAAAAAAGAATCCTGAAAGCAGCTCGAGACAAACAAAAAGTCACAAATGGAGGGGAAACAATCAGACTAAGCTCTGATTACTTGGCAGAAACCATGCAGGCAAGAAGGCAATGGGATGACATACGTAAAACTTTGAAAGAAAAAAATTGCCAACCAAGAATAATATATCCTACAAAACTCTTGTTCAAATATGGTGGTGAAATTCGGACTTTTCCAGATAAACAAAAATTAAGGGAATATATAAACTTACAAAAATTATTAAAGGGAGTCCTTTAGTTTGAGAATAAACAATATCAGATGACAGCCTGAATCTAGGATGCAATATTGCACCAGACAGATTACAACCTGGGAAATAAACTCTCAAGGATTATTCAAAACTAAAAGATTTACAACAGGGAACCAGGGAGGTTAATCTGTAAATGACTACAACATCAGAACAATACAAAAGGGAATAAACAGCGTAGGTATAGAACTTTCTAATGGAGAGGAAGGCAAGGCAATACCAAGATATAAAAGACTAGTTCAAACCTAGGAAGATAATAGTAAATTTCAAGGTAACCACAAAGAAAGTTAACAAATCTACCATTAAAATAAAGAAGAAAAACACATAGTTTCAGTAAGAACAAAATCTACAAAAACAAAAGAAATTAAAAATAAAAATCCACAAACAAAAGGAATTCAGCACAAGAGACAAAGAGGAACAAAGAAAACATCAGCACTGTAAAAAAAAAAAAAAAGCACTACAAAATTACAGCAATAAACTCACACCTATCAATAATTACACTGAATGTAAATGGCCTAAATGCACAGATCAAAAGACAGAGAATGACAGAATGGATAAAAAAACAGAATCCATCAATATGCTGTCTACAAGAGACATATCTTAGAAACAAAGATGTAAATTTATTACAAATCAAAGGATGGAAAAAAATATATCAAGCAAACAGCTACCAAAAAAAACAGTAGTGGCAATACTAATCTCAGATAAAGTAGATTTTAAAACAAAATCTACCATAAAAGACAAAGAAGAGCACTATATAATGATAAAAGGGATGATCCAGCGTGAAGACATAACCCTAATAAATATCTACACACTCAATGAGACTCCAAAATACCTAAAACAAACTCTAACAGCACTAAAAAGAGAAAGTGACAGTTCTACAATAATAGTAGGAGACCAATAAACTACTCTCGGTAAAGAACAGAACATCTAGAAAGAAACTCGGCCAAGATACAAAAGATCTAAAGGCCACAATCAGCCAACTT